AAAAACAATACCCTTCACAATAACTAATCACAAGATTAAATACTTCAGAATAAATCTAACCAGAAGCACAAAGCATCTATTCAAAGAAAATTATAAAACATTACTACAAACAATATACACACACACACACACACACACACACACAAAAGAGAGACCTGGAGAAGTGATGAACATCCCTTGCTCATGGATAGGAAGACTCAATATTGTGAAAATTACAATACTACCAAACATAATTTACATGATCAATGCAATCCCAATAGAAATACCAATTCCATTCTTCAACCAAATGGAAAAGGCAATCTTCAATTTCATTTGGAATGGAAAGAGACTTTGAGTAAGCAAAGCACTCTTCAAAGAGAGAAACAAAGTAGGAGGCATCTCACTCCCTGATTTCAAATTCTACTACACTGTCGTGGTATTCAAATCCCTGTGCACATGGTACAATGACAGACACATAGATCAATGGAATAGAATTGAGAATACAAAAATCAGCCTATCTACCTATAGTCAACTGATTTTTGACAAGGAGGTAATAGCAGTTATGTGGGGAAACGACAGCCATTTTAACAAATGGTTCTGGCAAAATTGGAAAACTATCTGCAGGAGACTTACGCAGGATCTACACCTTACTTCATACAGAAAAACCAACTCAAAGTGGATCATGGACTTAAGACTAAAACCAAGGACTATAAACTTCGTTAAAGAAACATCAACAGTTTTCCAACCATCCTAAAATATCTACAACCAGGAGAGGATAAAATGAATGGGACCTTCTAAGAATCAAATCCCTGTGCACATCCCAAAACTTCAACAGGGTAAAAAAGGAAGTTACAGATTGGGAAAAATATTTCATAATGACATATCAGCTAAAGGACTTATATGTAGAATTTATAAAATACTTGAACACCACAACAAGATAAAAAACCCAATTGAAAAATGGCTCAGAATATGAACAAATACTTCACCAAAGAAGACATTCAGATGGCAAACAAACACATGAAGAAATGTTCAAAATCTCAAGCTCTAAGAGAGATGCAAATCAAAACAATTAAGAGATATCATTTTACCCCAGTAAGAATAGCAAGTGCTCAAGCCTTTCATTCAAAGCGTCGCTATGAGTCATCTACAACTTGATGACACCTAACAACAACAAGAAGAAGATAGCAAAATTTAACAGAACAGCAAAGAACAATTGCTGGCGTGGTTGTGGAGAAACTGGAATCCTTATTCACTGTTGGTGGGAGTCTAATAGGGTGCAACCACTATGGAAGGCTGTATGGTCCTTTCTCAAAAAGTTGTAAATAGAAATTCCATTTGACCCAGCAATTCTACTACTGGGAATATACCCTAAAGAAACCATAACTTCCACCCAAGCAGATATATGCACACACATGTTTATTGTGGCTTTGTTCACAATAGCAAAGGGTTGGGACAACCCAAGTACCCATCAAGAAACTAATGGATAGTGAAGCTCTGGTATATTCACAGAATGGAATACCATGGTGCACTGAAAAACAAGGAACTTATGAAATATTATACAAAATGGGTGATCCTGGAGGACGTTATTCTGAGTGAAATATTTCAGTCACAAAAAGACAAATACTGCATAATGCCACTCTTAAAGAGGAAGACTGACATAGGTGCTGGGGGGAGAAGAAGAAAGAGCAGATAAATAATGTAAACGGCATTGAAAAAGATGAGGGAAAGAACTGTTTAAAATGCTATATGATTAATTGAAACAGATGAGGGAGAGAACAGTTTAAAAGTGATATATGATAGGGTATTATGATTATCACAGGAATCCAGAATTAAGGCTGCATAGTTGAGTGCATTCAGGGTGGGGGAGGGTAGGGTAGGGGCAGGGGGACTGTATATCAACGAAGTTTATCTTTTGCTTTTCAAAGAGAGGAACGAACTGGGGGAGGTAGAGAAAAAAGAGTAACAATGAATGGAAATCCAAAATCTCTGTAAATGTTCATTAAAAGTAATAAAAGAATGTTTTTTAAAAAGTGCTATATGACTGGGCATTATTGTCATGACCAGAATGAGGAATTAAGACAGCATAGCGGAGTGAAGTTGTGGGGAGGGATTTTATGACAAAGAAAGAATTTATCTATCTATCTATCTATCTATCTATCTATCTATCTATCTATCTATCTATCTATTTTTCAAAGAGGAGCAAATTGGGGGGGAGGGGAAAAAGTGCAACAGTGAATGAATGGAGGTCAAAACTCTAAACTTTCATTAAAATTAATAAAAAAAATTCTCCTCAAAAATCCCCCAAACCAAAAATACCCCTTTTTTTCCAATAGGGTGAAAAAAAGGCTTACAGACTTGGAAAAAAAATGTTTGACCATGACTTATCTAATAAATAAATTATAACTAAAATGTACAGAATACTCCAGCATCTCAAGAAGCTTTTGTTAAAACAGAATAAGGGGACATGAAAGGCATGCTTCAAGGCTGTATTCTCTCTCCATTCTTGTTCAACCTGTATGCTCAACAAAGAATTTGAGAAGCTGGACTTCAGGAAGAAGAATATGGTATCAGGATTGGTGGAAGGCTCATCAACAACCAGTGTCATGCAAATGACACTATCTTGCTTGCGGTAACTGGAAGACTTGAAACACTTTTTGCAGAAGAGCAACGACTACAACCTTCAATATGGATTACATCTCAATATCAAGAAAACAAAAATTCTCACCACTGGGCAGTAGGCAACATCATGATAGATGGAAAAAAGATTGAAGTTGTCAATTTCATCTTGCTTATAGCCACAATCAACACCATCAGTATCAGCAGTCAAGAAATCAGAAGACTTATTGCATTAGGAAAGTCTGCTATCAGAGACCTCACAAAAGTATTGAAGAGCAGTGATGTCAATTTAAAGACTAAGGTGCCCCTCTTTTCAATCACCTGCTATGCACTGGAATGCTGGACAATATATAAGGATGACAGAAGAAAAACATCTATGTCTTTGAGTTGTCATGTTAAAGAATGCCCAGTGTCCTGTGGACTGCCAAAAGAATATCTCTTGGAGAAAGTGCAGCCAGAGTGCTCCTTAGAGGCAGGGATAGTGAAGCTTCATCTTACATACTTTGGGCATATTGTTAGAAGAGGCTATTCATTGTGAAAGGACATCATGTTTGGAAAGGTCAGTAAAAAAAAGAAGATCCTCAATGAAATGGAATGACACTAACTTTAGCTATGAGATCAAGTATATCAGAGATGACAAGTATGGCACAGGATAGAACAGGGTTTACGGTCTCTTGGTTATAGGGTTGTTATGACAGCACCTGACTTGACAGTACTTGGCAACAACAATAGCACCTCAACAATAAAAGACTGATAACCCAATTAAAACATGGATAAAATATATAAACTCTTCACCAAAGAGGATATTAAGATTGCCAGCACATGTAAAGAAATGGTTTAAATAGCTATCTATTGGAGAGATGCAAATAAAAATAACAATGATATGAAAAACAATGCATATGAACTTTGTAAATAAAACAGTATAATAAAAAGGGGGGAAATACTTTTATTAAGATTCAAGGTAATTAAAAATAACAATGAGATATCTAACATCATCAACAGCAAATAATAAGTGTTGGTGAGAAGGTAGAGAGATTGGAAATCTCAAGCACTGCTGGTGGGAATTTAAAATGGGACAACCACTATTAGGTCTCTCAAAAAGTTGAAAATGCAAGTATCTTTTAATTCAGATATCCCTCTACTGAGAATATGCCCTAAGGAAATCAGAGTTGAGACAAGAACAAATGTATGTACACCTATTTTAATGCATTATCCATATTAGAAAGGAGATAGAAGCAGCCCAAGTGCCCATTAACAAATGAATGGATTGGGAAATTGTGGAATGTTCGTTCACACCATGGAATACTGCATAGCATTATAAACCAATGAAGAACTCATAAAACAGTATATACAACTTGGCCAAGTCTAGAAGATCTTACGATAAGTCAAAGAACTAAGATCTCAGGAGTCTATTATGTAAGACCTCTGTTATAAAAAAAATAGGATGATTATAGGAGAGACAGAAGAGCAGTAATAGGACAGACAGACAATGATCACTCTAATGGATTAAATGAAGAGTAGATCAACCTGAAAATAATGGAGAATGAACAATATATGCATTGTAATTAACAATTTAGAACAAGACATTTGGGGAAAAGGAACAGGAGAAAGAAAGATGGAATGGGGAGGAATATTATAAAATAAAATCTTTATGACTGAAAATAATATGAAAAGATCTATCTGTGTTTCATTGACTATGCAAAGGCATTTGACTGTGTGCATCATAACAAGCTGTGGCTAACTCTGAGAGGAATGAGAACCCCAGAACACTTGATCATGCTTATGCAAAACCTATAGTTGGACCAGGAGACAGTCTTCAGAACAGAGCAAGGAAACATTAAATGGTTCAAAATTGGGAAGGGTATACTCCAAGGATGTGTCCTGTCTCTGTATCTTTTCAATCTATAAATGCAGCACAGATTATCTGGGAGGCTGAACTCTATGAGAAGAAATGTGGCATCAGGATTGGAGGTAGACTCATCAACAATCTGTGTTATGCAGATGACACAACCCTACTTGCTGAAAATAAAGAGGATAAGAAGTGCTTGCTGAAGAAAGTCAAGGACTGCCTTTCCGTGCTACCCACACAAGGGTCCATATGTTGTTCTGGTTCCCGTTGTGACTTAAAAGGGAAACTTCCACAATGTCCAGAGCCCTTAATGTCCTGCAGATGATGGAGGAGGATGTCCTCAAATTCCTTGCAGCAGGAATGCATTTGGGCAGCACTAACCTTGACTTCCAAATGGAACAGTACATCTAACAAAAGGAAAAGTGATGGCATCTACATCATAAATCTGAAGAGGACCTGGGAGAAGCTGCTCTTGACTGCTTGCGCCATTATTCCCATCGAAAATCCAGCTGATGTCAGTGTCATTTCCTCCAGAAACACAGTTCAGAGAGCTGTTATGAAGTTTGCTGCTGCTACTGGGGCCATTCCTATTGCCGGGCGCTTCACTTCTGGAACCATCACTAACCAGATCCAGGCAGCCTTCCGGGAGCCTCATCTTCTGGTGGTTACCGACCCCAGGGCTGACCATCAGCCTCTGACAGAAGCATCTTACTTTAACTTGCCCACCATTGCCCTGCGTAACACAGATTCTCCTCTGCGCTACGTAGACATTGCTATCCCATGCAACAACAAGGGAGCTCACTCCGTGGGCTTGATGTGGTGGATGCTGGCCCGGGAAGTCCTGTGCATGCATGGCACAATCTCCTGGGAACACCTATGGGAGGTCATGCCCGATCTATACTTCTACAGACATCCCGAAGGGATTGAAAATGAAGAACAGGCTGCTGCTGAAAAGGCTGTGACCAAGGAGGAGTTTCAGGGAGAATGGAGGGCCCCTGCTCTTGAATTCACTGCTAATCAGCCTGAAGTTACAGACTGGTCCGAAGGTGTCCAGGTGCCCTCTGTGCCGATTCAGCACTTCCCTACTGAAGACTGGAGCGCTCAGTCTGCAACTGAAGGCTGGTCTGCAGCCCCCACTGCCCAGGCCACTGAGTGGGTGGGCACCATCACGGAGTGGTATTAAACTGTTTTTTAAAATGCAGAAATATGGTTGGTGGAAAATAAACAATGCGTTTCATAAAAAAAAAGACTGTAGTCTTCAATGTGGATTGAAGCTCAATATCAAGAAAACAAAGATTCTCACCACTGGGCCAATGGACAGCATCATGATAGCTGGTGAAGAGATTAAGATTGTTAATAGCTTCAGTTTGCTTGGTTCCACAAGCAACACTCTTGGTACCAGCAGCTAGGAAATTAAAAGATGAGTTGCACTGGGAAACTCTGCTACCAAAGACCTCTCCAAAGTACTGAAGTGATGTCAGTCTGGAGACTAAGGTGCACCTGATCCAAGCCATAGTCTTTGCAATTATGAGCTTTGCAGCAGAAAGCTGGAAAATGACTAGGGATGATAAAAGGAAAATTGATGCCTTTGAGTTGTGGTGCTGGAGAAGAGTATTGAATATACCATGGACTACTAGGAGAACAAGCGGATTTGTCCTTAGAAAGGATGAAACTAGGCTACTCCTTGGAGGCAAGGATTCTGAGGGCAAGGATTCATGATGTCTGATATACTTTGGACATGTTGCAAGGCGGGACCAGTTCTTGGAGAGGGTTGTCATGTTGGGAGAGTGGAGGGACAGTGCAAGAGAGAAAGACTCTCAATGAGATGAATTGATTCAGTGATTGGGGTAATGAGGGATGTTTCAGAGACAATAAGATAAGTATAGGCTAGAAAAGAGTTTAAGGGCGTTGTCATCACTATGAGTGGCAAGCAACTTGATGGAACATAACAACAACAACAACAACATTTTAAAAATCCCAAACAACTAAGACTTTCCTAAGCCAAATTATGATATTTTCAGTTGCTTCCTATTTATCTGAAAGTTAATCAGTGAATAAGGAAGAACCTATGAATTGTGGTGTCGATGATGAATGTTAAATACATCATTAACTTCTAGGAAAGCAAACAGGCCTATCTTGAAGGAAGTGCAACCACTGTGATCCTTGGTGGCAGGGATGATGGGAGGTTCCAGCCATTGGGAAAAGAATCATGCTTGAAAAGGTCAGCAAAAGAGTGGATGATCCTGAAGGAAGTGAATTCACACAAGGACTGAAATATGAAGCTTAAGCATAATGGGGGTTGTGAGGATGTCATGGAATAGGGCAAAATTGTAGCCAAAAGTAGTTATGAATCTTGGTCAACTTGATAGCACTTAACAACAAAAATACATTACTGAACATACATGCAAACTGTACTTACTATGCTATGAACACAAGATGGTGCTGTAGGCTTGAACACAATAGTTCTATTGGCAAGAAAAGATGAGTCTCCAAGTCTGGTAGGCTTCCAGAATGGTTGACTAAAACTAAAATCAGAAGATGGGGCTCAACACTTCTATTTGTAAGAGAGGGTGATTAATCCTGTCATTTACTGCCAAAAATGATTGTGGGAGTGACATAAAATTGTTCATAATTATTTTGCATCTTGGTGGCATGGTTTGAGAGCCATGATGGAATTATTTCTTTCATACTCAGTATTAGAGCACAGCATAAAGCACGAAAGCCTGGAATCATCTTTTCTTTGTATCATAGAATCTCATCTGCTTCTTTCTTTCCATTCAGGACTATAGAAGGTTCCGGAAGCAGATTTTTTAGAGATACTTAAGTCAGACATCATAACCTTCCTATCTCTCTTTGATCTCCTTTTCCAGTGCTTCTCAATGTTAGGAAATTCTACATGGAAAAGTGAAGAATACATGACATTTTAGATTCTTTGAAGACTATTAATGACCCTATACCATCAGCCTTATTTCAAATAATCTTGATACTTTCTGAGCCAATGTCCAGTTCTTTATTACTCTCTTTGGTTTAAAGGCTCCCCAAATTATTCAAGCTAATTTTTTAGAGAACACAAAATTTCCTTGATATTTGCTCATTTCTTCCAGAAGTATATATGTTTTTTTGTAAAAAAAATTGCACTGTGATGAAAAATATATATAAAAATAGACATCATCTTAACAATTTATACATGTACAATTCAGTAATGTTGATTGCATTTTTCAGGCTGTGCAACAATTTTTACTATCTTTTCCAAAAAAATAAATTACCAACGTAAAGTCAATGTTCAGTAAGCAAGAACTCCTTTCTCACGCCCTACTGTCCCTCATACAGTAGCCTTTTGACCTTACAGAAGTGGAACCATACTATATTTGTTCTTATGCAACCAACTTAGCATGACGTCTTCAAGATCCGTTCATCCTGTGAACTTTATTCTTTTTTTTTCTGGTTATAAATTATATATTTTTTTATTAATTTAGTTTGTTTATTTTTCATTTCAATGAACATCTACAGAGATTTTGGAATTCCATTCATTCATTATTGCACCCTTCTCCCCGCACAAACCCCTCCCCCCCATTTGCTCCTCTCCTTGAAAAGCAAAAGAAAAACTCCCTCATTGGTACACAATCCCCCCGCACCTCCCCAAACCCCACGCCCTACACCCAAATATAATCCACTCTGCAACCCTCATTGCGTACTCCTATAATAAAAATAATGCCCTAAAATATAATACTTTTAGACTATTCTCTCCCCCATAGACTTCAATGCCGTAAACATATTTCATCAAGTTTTTCTCAGTCTTACCCCTCACCCCAATGCCAGCCTCATTCTACAACAGTGGCACCATATAGCATTTGTCCCTTTGTGACTGAGATACCTCACTCAGCATAATGTCCTCCAGGGTCACCCATTTTGAATAATATTGCATGAGTTCCTTGTTTTTCAATGCAGCATAGTCTTCCATCGTGCAAATATACCACAGCTTCTCTACCCATTCGTTTCTTGATGGGCATTTAGGTTGTTTCCAACTCCTTGCTATTGTAGAACTTTATTCTTTTATGATCAGATAATATTACATTGTATGTATGTGCTTTGCCATATGACTGTATACAAGAAGGGGGCTCTAATGGCCTAGTACATACAGAGTTGGACTGATAATACTAAAGACTGTCATCTCCAGTCATTCAAATTATTGACTCCATAGAAGAAAAGTGGACAGTTTCTTACTGATGAGATTCATAGCTTCAGAAACCCAGTGGAGGGCCCTGAAAGTTAATAATCTACTTGATATCAGTGAATTGAGTATTGAGTTGACTACAAGAAAAAGAAATTGCAAATATAGTGTTGAATGAAAATAAGAATCAATTACAAGAGTAAACATATTCTATGATTCCACAAAATTGCATTCAAAAAACAAGCAAAAACAATCTGTGACGTATGAGATCAGGATAGTGGTTAGTTTTAGGGTGGGAGTAGGGTAGTGACTGAAACAAAATTTCCAATGTTTTTTGTCATATTCTGTTTTTTGATCTAGGTACTAGTGAAAATTTGAAATGTAAATTTTTTTTTTTACCTTTCTACATGTGAGTAACTCTGGTGATGTAGTCTATAATGAGTTACACTGCTAATCCAAAGGCTATACATCTCTGCTGGCTTGAATTCATTAACTGCTTCTTGGAGGAAAGATGGGCAATATCTTCTGGTTGAGATTCACAGGCTTGGAAAGCAATAGATATTCACTATAGGTCAACAGTTTTGGTGTTGGTTTTTTTTTTTAGTTTTCTTTATGTATGATGCATGAAACTCACAGAATCAGAAGGGCTGGAGGGAAAGAAAGAGAAAAACCAGATGAGACACATTGTTTTGTGTTAGTAGTGTTCAGAATAAAATATAATTTTTTTGGACTTCAAGCCCTAATCCTGATCACCTACATAAGGACAATAAAGACAATTTTAAGAAGACGATATTGTTGTGCCTTTAAAGTCTATCTGTCCACCCAGGAGTCAGGAGTGCTAGGAACCCAGGTTTCAATTTCATTCTTAATGCTTATCCATTCCTGACCATTCCATAAAAGAATATCAGGTTCATGAATTTTCATCCAGACAAAAAGAGCTCAACAGGCAGACCCCATGACCCCATTCCATTGTTTCCCCTGCATTGTTCTTGAGGCTCCGGACACACAGACCTAAAATAACCATGCAGTTGTCATTGTTCGGGATGCTATTTTAGAATGCTGGCTTAGGTTGTCGATTGGAGGGGAACCAGGAAATGACCCAGCTGTCAGACGGCTCAGGGACACCAAAGAGTAGGGGGTGGATAGGAAATTATGAACATTGGACCACAAGAGGTTTAGAGTGGCCAGAGGTAATACCCTTTCTAGAATGTGTTCCATCTTGGCATGAGGAATTGGTAGAGAATGGGAGGACCATGTGTGGGTTGGGAAGGCAGAAAAGGAAGAAAGGGGAATGAGTAGAAGATTGTTTGGAGCTGGAGTAAGAAATGCAGGAAATAGAAGGAGTTGATAGAGGAAGGGGGAGGCAAGTGGCAATGTGTGCTAAAGGATATTAATGGTGTTTTGATATATTGCTTGAGGAATAGTTTCTATTGTTTGAGAGAACTTGAGGACAGCTGTTAAGGACCTTCTATGGGGGGGGGAAGTAAGTGAAAGTGACAGAGAGTGATGATTAACCAGTAGCCTATGTTGAGTTGTATTACTTCCTGTCATCTTTAGCAACTTAATTAGTGGTCAGACTACTTTACAGCCCTGGTCCTGTGCAGATGCAAAACCAGATTTCAGAAATGTTTCACTGAAGGAGGAGGGAAGATGGGATGGAAGAAGAGAAAGGTGAAATTCTGAAAGTTTTCTTCTGATTCCATAAGCCTGTGGAAATGTTTAATATGAGTTAAAACCCCAATTCCATCAGTTCCTGCACATACGAGATCTCTAGAATTCCATCAAGTATTCACCTCTTAGTCCTGGGGTTCCTCAAAGAGTGTTTCATGCACATACTTTATCCCACAAGACTCAGTGACTGCAGTTCTTCAACTGGACTTATTGTCTATTGAGGATAGGCTTCCTCTTGCTCTACTTTAACTGAGACCTTGTGGTATTGTACAGATAAAGACAATGACCAAGGCAACAGAATAAAATCCAGAAATACATTTACATAAATATTTTTCAAAATT